ACTGTTATCTGTCCCCAGATCACGATTAAAGCAGAGAGGAGATAGAGCCTTCGCTATTATTCGCTGTGGGACACCCTTACATCAGATCGCCACAGTCTTTAAATCTTCTCTTTAAACCTACTTTTTTCCCCTTAGCTTTTAATTCATTGTGAGCTTCTGTCATGAATGTGTGGTTTGCCCTTGTCTCTTTATCATGTGTTTTGTTCAGCACTTTGGTCAGCCATGTTTGCTGTTTTTAAATGCGCTATATACTGTAAATAAAAACAAACTTGAAACTTGAAATCAGTGTCACATTTTCAATCATGATGTTATTAAGGAAAACAGCACTCTTGGTCGTGTGATGTTGCCTCACAGCATCATATATTAAAAATATAAAAATTATTTTTAAACTACATTTTTACCACAGTATTTTAACTAAGTTCTGCAGTTTTGATTTCTCCTCGAGAGGCTGAATGAGCCACAACAGCGCAGTTACCATCAGTACATTATACATTATATATAAGGCCTATTATCCACTATCGATCATCAGCACTTACACTTAAAGTAATAAAATCAGGCATCCTCGTGTTTTGGTGATTCTATAGTATTTTTTTGTTGTTGTTATTAACGTTTTAATCAGGTTATTTGTCCAGTCAGGCAAGTACAATTGTCTCACTTGCCCCTTCAAAAACTCCACTAGTCCGTTAATGACAGTGACAGTAAAAGATATTTATAATGTTACAGAAGATTTCCATTTCAAATAAATACTGTTCTTTTGAACTTTTCGTTTTTCAAAGAATCCTGAAAGAATCCTGAATCACAGTTTCCACAAAAATATGAAACTGTTCAACATTTCAAATAGAATATTAGTTATTTTAAACTGTAATATTACCGTTTTAACTGCATTAAAATAAATGCCGCCTTGCTGAGTTATTAGAATAATTGTGTAAACCCTTGAAAATGGTTTTCATTTTTGTTGTACATACCGTACTCAAGACTTAACGGGAGGTCTTCACACTCGGGTAGAGCAATAACAAAACTTCAACACTGCCATTTGGGTGAATCACAATGGAAGTAAATTCTATTATATATAGTTGCAGGAATAGTAGATCAGATTTATATCCATTCTGCAGGGATACATTTAAGTCATCAAAATGAATGAAGTGACCAGGTGTAGGCCTAGTGATAGACGACAATGCATTGGTGTCTGGAGGTGTTAAACGTACCACTTATCTGCGTGTCAAGCAGGTGTCCGTGTGAGTTGAACCACTGGACATTTGGGAAAGGGTCACCGGTGATATTACAGTCAATTAAAGCACAGTTTCCCTCCCGGGCGATGATCTGGTTTATTTTGGTGAGCACCACAGGAACCGAGCCGTCACCATCTGCCTCTGTCCCGTTCTCTCTTGCATCTTCATCCACTGCCGAGATGTTCAAAGGCCCTGCCACACTAAAACTAATCATGGACACTAAATAAATGATCACGTATCCGTTCACCCTCTTCATTTTCTCTGGCATTCAGTAACAACAGTAGAGATAAGATGTCATTCTCCACCGGTCCTCATGTTACAGTCATGGAGAGCACAAACCACCGGTGTACATGATATTTCCTGCAGATGCATCACTGGAAAGACAGAATAAAAAGAGGAACAATAAAATTTAAAAATGATTTGATTTGTCAGAATGACATGGGCTTTTAACTCAAGTTTTGCACACACAACCTGTGACTCCTCCTCCTCATCGAGCTGATCTTTATCACGAATAACAAGACGTGCTAAAACAAGAACTGACTCATATTTTCTGAGGCAGAAATCATCATGTTAATGGGTTAAAAGTCAAATAAAGCCATTTAATTTTATGCTAATTTCAACACTAACGTTATATTCGACGTCTGATGTACATTCAAACCACCTGGAACCTCAATATTACTAATTTAGAGGAAATTAAGATAAATCAACATGTTTTAAATAAAAAAAATGGGCACAAATAACGGCTTAATATTACTATACTAAATCAAATCGTGATCCGCATACTTGTGCCATTAGCCTGATGTCATTTTAAAAGCTTCTAACGTACGACCAACAAATCTACACGTTTACAAAACATTTAAATACAAACCAACTAAGACACGACTTGAGTTTTTAGGTAGTTATATTCGCACAGTGTTAAATGTCTAAATCATATTTGCCACGTTCAAATGTGCTGAAATCAGCTCGAGCTAACTGCGGCTAGTCATATGACTAGTCACCATCCGCTAAGGAAGACGCATAAAAAATAAATTTCCCCCCACATTCATATGCTTTAACCCTCGCCATTCAACATGAATATACAAGAAAACACCTACCGTTTACGTTTAAATCACGCGAATGTAAAAACGCAGTCGCAGTTTACACGACCGAATATACGCCGCTAGCATAATAGCCGAAAACAGCCGCGTTTCCTTTTGTTACATTTCGCACAACGGTCACAAACACAGCGATATTTACTCGATAAACAGCGTTAACACTTACACCATGTTGTTCCACCGCTTTTATCTCTCGATGTTCGTCCTGAAATGTGACGTGCCGAAGCTCATTTGAGGTGTTTTGTGGGTTTGGTTTAAGTTGTGACCGAATAATCGTTTGAGAAATCCACGGACCCAAAATAATGTACTGTGGGTGAAAGATGACAGAGTAAAGCGTAATGTTTGGTCTTTAACCCCTCCTATCTTCGGTGCCTATCGGCTTTCTATTCCTCCTCCATCTTTTTTTTTCTTTTTGACCGAATTGACCCAGATTTTCCTGTAATTTGAGCTGACTTCGTCACCCAGTTTGGTTTATTTCCTTTTTTTTGCTGGTCCAATTGGTTAATTAAATGTTTTATTCCATGAATATAAAGCTTTTACTTCGTCCTTTAAAAAAATACTGTGCTGTAACTAGTTTGGTATTACTGTACTCATGTGGATATTGAGTGTAACATTATTTGTAAGTACATTGGAACTATGTAAATACCTTAATATGAATATGATGTTACACTATTTGACATATTGTTCTCTATAAAAAGTAACTAACTTAATGGAATTAGTTACTCTTTCAGGGAGTAACGCAATCTTGTAACATTACTTTGAAAAGTAACACTGGTTATCAATTATTGCCATAGTATTTCAAATGACAATTTCCACTGTATTTGCTGTCACCTTGTACACATATAAAGATAGTTTTACCTGTATTCGGTTCTCATGTCATTGTTTTTAATATGATAAAAATCAAGCCTAAATAGGGAGGCTAATGTGAAAACAATATGGTGATGTATATCACGACCTGTCACGCTGCAAACTGCACATTCAGGCTTAAGAAATCCTGTTTAAGTATTAACTGCCCTTGTTGATCAATGTCAAACCACTTTACAGCACGTTGATCATTTATTATAACCAGTGTGTTAAACCATTAAAACCTGAAGAAACACACATACACGCAATTAATATTGCTTTTAAAGCAGTTATGAGTGCATAACTCCTCTGAGCTTATGCACTATAACAGCAAGATTTATCACAGCCGCCTGAGTGAGTGTTTGTGTGTGTGTGTGTGTGTGTGTGTGTGAGAGAGAGCCCTTCTTAAGCACTTTCCCTGAGTAGTGTACACAAAGAAGCTGTTGTCACAGAAACAACACACACAGTGTGAATGCCAGCACACCAAACTTAAAAACAAAAGGTTCCAACAGGATAGAAGAGCCATTTTTGGTTCCCCAAGGAACCTTTCAGAGAACAGTTTCTAAAGAACTTCTTCCACTATAAAAAATATTTTGTTCAATGCAAAGGTTCCATTGATAATAAAGGTTCTTACTGGAACCACAGATGCCAAAAAATAATCTTTTTTTTTTTTTTAAATGTAGAAAATTTGTGTTTAAAAATTAAGGAGTTCTCCACTGAAAAACCAATGCAATGGGATTTTAACCAAAGCTTTGCCTTATTTAATTGCATAAAGTACAACGTTGAGTGTAAATCAGCATTACATACAATAATGGAGCTTGTTTAATGATTTATTGAAGCCTATTTTGCCGACATGCACAATCACATGCAAGTTTATTGTTTTATTAACCCATATTTGAGTCAAATGGTGACCAGCATGGACTCTCTCTGAAAGACAGAAGAGAACTACAGCAAGTTCTATAGTGCATATGGGAGGACGTCGCTAATATGTTATTTCATTATCATTTGCTAAGGTAAAAAAAAAAAAACACTATTGCATTTCCACGACTTTTAGAAATAACAAAAAAATAGAGAGAGATTGAAGAAGCAGATCTTTCAGAAACCCCATCACAGCAGTGTTAACTAGTTTCTAGTCATGAAATGCCATGGTAATATAACGCAAGACATGCTGATAAAAATGTACACTACTTTAATGCAGAAATGTGTCATCAACCTGTGACGAGGGTCCATCGGCTTAAAGCCATTTTAAAAGCTGCTACATGCGTCATATCAATCCATCTACTCCTCGTGTGTGTTGAAAACAGCAGCTGACCAGTGAACTGCTGAAGACAGAACTGAACAGCTTCACAATTCAACACAGAGATTCAATCAACAGATCAGGGCAACTACATGCCTTCACTCGACCTTCGGCTTCTTATGCTTAAACATTTTACACAATAAACCAGTTTTAAAAGCACATGAAATGCCTCCAGACAGCAGCTGCTGCTGCACTGAAAACCAACTTCAGCAGCAAATCGTGATATTAATACGCACCGCATGAAGAGAAAAACGTCTTGAATCTTGAAATTTTGTTATTAAACATCGTTTTATGTTTGTTCCTCTGGTACTGACTGAACGGTGAAAACATAGGTTTGTTGTTGTGCAAAACAGGCAGAACATTGGGCAGATCGTGTGTGTGTGTGTGTGTGTGTGTGTGTGTATGTTTGTGTCTCTCTGTTTGTGTGTGTGTGTGTGTGTGTCTGTGTCTGTATGTGTGTGTCTGTGTGTGTCTCTGTATGTGTGTGTGTCTCTGTGTGTGTGTGTCTCTGTATGTGTGTGTCTGTGTGTGTGTGTCTGTGTGTGTGTGTGTCTGTGTCTGTGTCTGTGTCTGTGTGTGTGTGTGTGTGTGTGTGTGTGTGTGTGTGTGTGTGTGTGTGTGTGTGTGTGTGTGTGTGTGTGTGTGTGTGTGTGTCACGTGACAGCAGCATTTAATTGATGATACTGGACATTAGAAACATTCCCACAGGCTTTATTCCTCCTGGAGATCAGCGACTCACACGGCGTCCTTGATCAGATCAGCGAGTCTCCTGAACGCCTGTGGATGAAGAGGAGAGACGCACACGAGACAGAGTAAACACAGGTGAATATGGGACGTGCTTGAGTTCTTAGGCATCATATAAATGAAAACATTATAAACCTGAAACGGACTGATCTGAAATGCTGTATAAAGGCAACAACACGAGGGACTCGACTGACTTCATGTTACAATGATATTGTCATTCAAAAATTGGTGGTTAGTAATTTATTTATTTTTTTATTTTACTTTTATTCATCAAGGACGCATTAAAGTGACATTTATAATGTTATAAAAAGATTTCTATTTCAAATAAATTTTTATTCAATCAAAGAATCCTGAAAAATGTACCACGGTTTCCACAGAAATATGAAGCAGCACAACCGTTTTCAACATCGATAATAATAATCAGAAATGTTTCTTGAGCAGCAAATCATCATATTAGAGGTATTTCTGAAGGATCATGTGACTCTGAAGACTGGAGTAATGATGCTGAAAATACAGCTTTGATCACAGGAATAAATTACAGTCTACTATACACTCACCGGCCACTTTATTAGGTACACCTGTCCAACTGCTCGTTAACACTTAATTTCTAAGCAGCCAATCACATGGCGGCAACTCAGTGCATTTAGGCATGTAGACATGGTCAAGACAATCTCCTGCAGTTCAAACCGAGCATCAGTATGGGGAAGAAAGTTGATTTGAGTGACTTTGAACGTGGCATGATTGTTGGTGCCAGAAGGGCTGGTCTGAGTATTTCAGAAACTGCTAATCTACTGGGATTTTCACGCACAAACATCTCTAGGGTTTACAGAGAATGGTCCGAAAAAGAAAAAACATCCAGTGAGCGGCAGTTCTGTGGGCGGAAATGCCTTGTTGATGCCAGAGGTCAGAGGAGAATGGCCAGACTGGTTCGAGCTGATAGAAGGGCAACAGTGACTGAAATAACCACTCGTTACAACCGAGGTATGCAGCAAAGCATTTGTGAAGCCACAACACGCACAACCTTGAGGCGGATGGGCTACAACAGCAGAAGACTCCACCGGGTACCACTCATCTCCACTACAAATAGGAAAAAGAGGCTACAATTTGCAAGAGCTCACCAAAATTGAACAGTTGAAGACTGGAAAAATGTTGCCTGGTCTGATGAGTCTCGATTTCTGTTGAGACATTTAGATGTTAGAGTCAGAATTTGGCGTAAACAGAATGAGAACATGGAACCATCATGCCTTGTTACCACTGTGCAGGCTGGTGGTGGTGGTGTAATGGTGTGGGGGATGTTTTCCTGGCACACTTTAGGCCCCTTAGTGCCAATTGGGCATCGTTTAAATGCCACGGCCTACCTGAGCATTGTTTCTGACCATGTCCATCCCTTTATGGCCACCATGTACCCATCCTCTGATGGCTACTTCCACCATGTCACAAAGCTCTAATCATTTCAAATTGGTTTCTTGAACATGACAATGAGTTCACTGTACTAAAATGGCCTCCACAGTCACCAGATCTCAACCCAATAGAGCATCTTTGGGATGTGGTGGAACGGGAGATTCGCATCATGGATGTGCAGCCGACAAATCTGCGGCAACTGTGTGATGCCATCATGTCAATATGGACCAAACTCCCTGAGGAATGCTTCCAGCACCTTGTTGAATCTATGCCAC